GGAAAAGAGGAAGGAAGAAAGAGGAAGGTAGGAAGGAAGGAGGGAAGGAAGGAAGGGAGAAAGGGGAAGGGAGGGAGGAAGAAGGAAGGGAGAGAGAAAGGAAGAAAGAAAGGAGGAAATGACCTTGCTCTCCAGGATGTGAGAATAAACATAAGAAACACAGAAAAATCAAACAAGGGCTACCACTGGGAAATCCACAGAAATGGTCACATTGATCAGGCCACAAATTTCAACCCCAAAAGAGGCCCCTAGGGAGCCATCGGGAGCAGCCTAAGTGGCCTACCTGAACTTTCAGCTCCCCTTCCTGGTTACTGATAATACTTTCTCCAAACTACTTAATAGAGTCATTTCCTGCTTAGGAGTATTAAATTCCACAACTTCAGTACCCATTATGTTCAACAAAAATCTAAGACAGCATCATGGTTAAGAACATGGATTCTGGAGGGGTGCCTGGGTGGCTCAGTGGGTTAAGCCTCTGCCTTTAGCTCAGGTTGTGATCTCGGGGTCCTGGGGGGTCCTGGGGGGTCCTGGGATCGAGCCCAACATCAGGCTCTCTGCTCAGCAGGGAGCCTGCTTCCTCTTTCTCTCTGCCAGCCTCTCTGCCTACTTGTGATCTCTCTCTCTGTTAAATAAATAAATAAAATCTTCAAAAAAAAAAAAAAAAAAGAACATGGACTCTGGAATCAAACCTCCCATGTTAAAACACTGTTCCAAAGCTTCTTAGCTTGGGTGACCTTGGGTGACCTTGGCAAGTTACTCATCCTCATAGAACCTGCATTTCCTCATCTGTAAAAGATTAAAATCTTCTTCCCAAGATCATTGTGAAAATCACATGAAATAGTACTAAAAAGGCATAATAGTGCCACAAAATAGTAAATACTCAGTAAATTTTAGCTCTGATTTTTCCTCAGCTTATTTAATCTTATTTGGGTTTCCAAAAAGCCCTCAAAGGGGATTTGGTGAGGATGTGTGGTCACTTTAGGATCATTTTATCCTTCTGCATGTCTACAGAAGGAGAGAGGTTCTCCATCACTTCGACGCCCCTCTTCAGTTCTCCTTATCTCTTCAGCACCTTGACACAGTTGAACATGGGTCCACTGTGGCTGCCAAAACCTGGTACCCGCATAGGAGGACTCTTATCTTGGGTGAGGCCACTTTCCTTTCCTGTACCTGGGCTTCCCTTCATTGCCTGGGTTTGGGCCACCTAAGTAGAGAGTATTCATAAGTGGAAGAGAGATCAGAAGAGGCTGGAGTCCCATACTCTGGGGGAAATCTAGAGATTAGGGCGCGAGAAAGAAGCCTGTGAAGCTAAAGATGCAGGGGTTGCCTTAGTTAGCTCTAGCTTCACAGGTCTAGCAGTTTAACAGGCCCTGGGAGAAGGCTGAGAGAGCCGTTCTCTGAGCGAGGCCTGTTCACTTCCCTAAGGAAGAATAAGCCGGACCCCGACTGCTCCTCCGGTCTGCGTGACAAATACCAGACGAAACAGGTGTACAGATAAACTATGAACTTAAATTCATAAAGGTTGTTAGATATTTCCCCCTCCCCAGGAGGCACCTTTCAGAGAGCGGCTCCTTTAAGAGGCGGGCCCCATCCCTGCTAACAAAGGAAGTCCCCGCCCCCGGTTGCCAGGATGCTCTGTGGCGTCGCATTCTCATTGGTTGGCGACGGTGGGCGAGGCGCCCAGAGACAGCCATTTCCAACGAGCTGGCGTGGGCGAAAGATGGCGACGCCCCTCGGGTGGTCGCAGGGGGGCTCTGGATCAGTGTGTCTCGCCTTCGATCAACTGCGGGACGTGATCGAATCTCAGGAGGAACTGATCCATCAGCTGAGGAACGTGGTACGCAGCCAGAAAACCTCGGGGAGAGGCCGACCTGACCACCTAAATGGAGGGGGCGGGGCCAGACCCTATCCCGAAGCCAGTGGCGAGCTTAGAGCACATTGCCAATGGCGTCATCAGGAGGAGGCGGGGCCCAGATGGTTCTAGCTAGTAGGAGTGGAGCCAAAATGATGCAAGGTCTTCATGAATGTCTACCATGGAATTTAAATCAAAATCAAGTTCATTTCTACTCCCTGTTTGATTGTGTAAGTCCGGGTAGTTATGTCCCAGTCTATTCACCAAGCCTCACTTTGCCCATTTCTAGTTGGAGAGGACTTCATTGGCCTCCAAAGGCGCTCAGGTGCAGGCACTGAAGCTATAACATCTTTTCTCTTATGGACATCCCCTCCCCGTGTCTAGTGCAGCGCCATGCTGAGGGCAGTAAGCACTGGTTTGTCCCTTACACATGTTAACTTAAGGGGTTCCGACCTCTTTATGCCCCTTTGCTTTTGCCTTCTAGTCAAACCCTCGTTCCTGAGTTCAAAACATTGGAGCCACAGGTTACCTGGACAGGCATGGTAAAATCCTGGCCAGTTGGGAGTTCATGGTTTCTCTCTCTCCCTCTCTCTCTTTTTTTTCTATCTTGATTAGAAGGTCGTGAGATAGCTCCATCTCAGAAACAAAACTGACTTAACATCTATTTCTCACTCTTAATAGGTGTGTGCAGCTCTAGGCACAGAATTACCTACAATTCCCTAAGGGTACCTAGCTCTTTTTCTTCACAGCTGGCATCTGCTGGCATTTGCATGTGTGTTCTAACCATCTGAAACACTTTTCTGTTCCACCACCACTTCTGGCCCGCCCCTGTTTAGCAGTCAGATGCCCTGTCTCATGATCCCTCTCTGGAAGGAGTTCTGATCTTTTGCCAGGCCAGGGGCCTCCCCTGACCACCACAGCCGTTTGTGGTTCTCCATCATATTCACATACCGTTTTAGAAGTGCTGGCTGTGAGCTGTCTCCTATATCAAACTAGTTACTCCTTAAGGGTAGGTAGGACCTAGAGCTGAGCCTCTGTGAATCTTATGGAACCACATTCTCCCTTCTCAGATCTCAAGTCTCATGCTAGGTGCCCTGGGTATCATTCCACTGTCTAACCTTGGTCCTGATCCCTAGAGAGCGCTCTTCCCACTCCAGCCCCAGGCCCTCCCTGAGCCAGGCTCTGTTGCAGATGGTTCTCCAGGATGAAAATTTTGTCAGTAAAGAAGAGTTCCAGGCAGTGGAGAAGAAGCTGGTGGTAAGTAATGGCCTCTGCAGGCTCCTAATCTTTTCCCATTTCCTGGGATCCCTGTGGATGGGCACAGTTATTGAGGCCTCTGAGAGCCTCCAGCCCTACCTGTGAGGACAGAATCTTCCTGGGTTGGCTTCCATGTGCCTCTTTGAGAAAGGGAGCTGGTTAAGGGGATCTAGGAAACCAGGGTGGCTTGGGGGTAATGAGGTCACTGCTGCTGCCCCTGCAGGAAGAGAAAGCTGCCCACGCCAAGACCAAGGTCCTCCTGGCCAAGGAAGAGGAGAAGTTGCAGTTTGCCCTCGGAGAAGTAGAGGTGCTATCTAAACAGCTGGAGCAAGAGAAGCTGGCTTTTGAAAAGGCGTGAGTGGGCCTTGGTAGGTGGGGGAAGGGTTGGGGGTCCAGTCTACCTGTCAGCCTTCCCACCCTTTCTTTTATTCTCCACCCAGGCTCTCCAGTGTCAAGAGCAGAGCCCTGCAGGAATCCAGCAAGAAGGACCAGCTCATCACCAAGTGCAATGGTAGGCGGGAGGCCCGTGCCCCCCCCCCATGCTTACATGCATGGGTTCTTCCCTAACAGCCCAGTGCCCATGTCCAGGGCAGGGTTTCACCCCAACTTCTGCCCCCGGCTGAGGATACAGGCAGGCCCAGGCGGGCCACACCTTCGCAAAGGCCTTCAGGGACCAGGCAGGCCACGGAAATGAGGGAAGCAGTTGGTGTACAATATTCTTCATGGCCATAAAAGAACGGGCTCGCTCCCATTTTTCTTGAAACATACAACCTTCTTAGTCCACCTTTTGTTTTCCCACTTCTGATGGGTATTAGAAATAGTGTATTTTACTCATAACTATTACAAGAGGGACAACAGGGCAAGCTCAGTCCCATTTGGGAGCTGACCCCTAGTGTCAGGGTTGGAGACCCAACAGGGAGGAGTGGGGACCATGGTGATGGGAAGAGACATGCCACTTCTCAAGGGCTTAATGTCTCTGCCATGGGAATGGGGGCCCAGTATTGTCAGATCTTTAAAAAAGAAACTGGTAGCCAGTTTTTAACGGAAACTTTTCTGACTTTTTAGTGTTGGCAACTGATTTCAAAATTTTAAAACTATTGTATGGGCCAAGTAAAATATGTCTGTAGGCCATTAATTTTCATCTCTGCTCTGTGCCAGATGGCTGTGATCACTTGTTGGCTCAGCTGGTGCTAAGTTTGGGGGCACTTTTTGTCAGCCATCCAGTGTCCCTAGATCTCAGGAACCCCTTTTTGGTTTCCCAGAACACTAAATTCCCTTTACCTAGTCATTTCTATTAAGAAATAGATATGAATTCCATATGCAGTTTTGAGTAGGCCAGAGACCAGAGCCCAAGTCCAAAAGATATTCAGGGTCCCCCCTGATGGGCTGTCACCTGGGGTCTTGGGCACCCCATACCCACCAATCCAGCCCTCACTCCCCCTTGGTGAGTACTCTCGCTGGTAAGATGCCAGCAGGCTGATGTCTTAGTCTCGCTAGGTGGGCTGACAGGCCTCATGACTGTTTGATCAAGGCCTCCTACTGGGGCCCCCTGGGGCCCAACAGGCAGTTAATGCCTCCATACCCAAGGCCACTGGACCCCAGTTCTTCCTCCCTCTCTACCTATCCCCCCACTTCCCTAAAAGGAACCTAGAGGTCTTTCCTGGTGGTGCCAAGGCATTTCCTAGAGATCAGTCAAGGCCACAGTGCTCCCGTCTGCTTGTGCAAGGTGTGTGTGTATATGTGATGGGGATGGAACCTGGCTGCCTCTCCCCAGAATGTCCCAAACCCCTCTAGTGGGACACAAGCCCTCACCTGAGCAAATCTCATGACCTAAGCCTTCCCCTGGCCTGTGCCCTCCCTACCCTCTAACCTCCCTTTATGTGGGTTTAGTTTGATTTTTACACTTATATAGTTTCTTATTTTTCTCAAAGGGATTTTCTAATCATTCTCTCATTAGGTGCTATTTATCTTAAATTCATCTCTCATTTATTTTAAAAGATTCACATAAATTTCTGATGCCTTTTTCCAAAAGATCTTCACAATCAATCAGTCTGGGTGACCTTGGGAAGAAGGGTCAACAGTCCTGGTTCTGTGACCCGCAGAGCTCATTTTCATTCTCTTCCTTCCCCTGTGTCTTTGTCTGTGTCCTCTTTTCTATGCTGTGCCTTAACTCTTTACCAAATCTTTTCTTTGAAACCTTAAATGCTTTAGCATTTCTGCATTTTTAGAGTTTGTGTTCTAGTTAATGTTCATCCAGTCTTTAAAGGCAATGGGATTTTCTTCCTATGAGGATCAGAATTTTCCAGGGCTGCCCAAGGGACAGTTCATATAAATGAAGCGCCCTCCAGATCGCTACAGCCTCTTTCAATTTTGATGCAAGACACAAAAATCATCCTTGCATCTAATGAGCACTTTATGTGGGGGTAAGCTTTGCCACCACTCTCTCCCTGGGTGCTCCCCATGCCCTTGTGGAACAGGGGCCGTCCCTGTCCCCATTACAGATGAGGAAACGGCTCTAGAAAAGGAGGCAACTTGCCCAAAGTGGTAATGCTGTCTCATCAATATTAACACTGTTTAAACATTGCCTTGTTCTGTTCTCTCATCAGTTCCTGAGTCTTAACTCTCAGGAGCTGCCTCCTTGAGAGTGAGGACCCTATCTTCTCCTCTGGAGCCCTAGTACAGGGATGGGCATCCAACTGGCCCTCAGTACTCAGTAGGTCTGCTGGGATTGAGATGACTGAACTAAGTAATATTTCTAAGTCCTAAACCCTCAGAGGATATCCTGTTCATTCATTCCACAAATAAATTTATTGTGCACCTTCTATGTGCCAGGTACTCTTTTAAACCTTAGGGTTAAAACAGTAAATTTAAAAAATATTTATCCTTGTGGATTTTGTGCATAGAAATCCCAGTAGGGAAGACAACAAGTAAAATATATGGTATGTTAGCTATGGGGGCTAAGAAGAAAAAGAAAGCAGGCAAAAGGGATAGGAACTATTGAGAGGGGTTGTACTTTTAGACTGGGAAGGATCTTGCCAAGGTGGTCATATCTGTAAAGATTGGCAGGAGTTAAGGATAGGAACCATTCATCCTCCAGCCTATGGGCAGCGCTGTCCACCTCTCTGCAAGGGCCTCCGCCTGCCCTCATGTGGCTCACCTGGTCCAGAAGTAGAGTTGTGAAGTCACTGACATGTTCATCAGACATTGTGCCCCTCAGCCATCATCCTGTCAAAACTCCCTAATAAACTCATTCTTACTAAGGTGTTAGCAGCTACTTGTGGAGAACTCCTGGGTGGGGGGAATCCAAGTTCTTAAAAAACCTGTAAGGGAATGAATGCCTATCTCAGGAAGGAGCCCGTGGGATGGGAACCACCCCTCCTCCCTGCCTCTCTCCCCCACAGAGATTGAGTCTCACATTATAAAGCAAGAAGATATACTTAATGGCAAAGAGAATGAGATTAAGGAGTTGCAGCAAGTTATCAGCCAGCAGAAACAGATCTTCAGGTGAGGGGTCTGGGCCAGGCTGGGGGTTGTTGATGGAAGTGGGGAGCCAGGTCTCTGGCCCCTACCGTAGACTGCCCCCAGCCCATGCCCAGCCGGCTCCGTTGCAGGAATCACATGTCTGACTACCGGATCCAGAAGCAGCAGGAGAACTACATGGCCCAAGTACTGGACCAGAAGCATAAGAAAGCCTCAGGGACGGTTCAGGCCCGGAGCCACCAGCGCCCCAGGGAAAAATAAAATGGTCGTCGCCTTCCTGTTCTTTGGCTGTAATGCCCGACCTCTGCCTTCTCTGCTGTGGGGGTCCCCATCCCTATCCTTCCTATCCCTGTGGGTCCTGGCCCTTGCCACCACCGGCCTCACCAGGGGCCTGATTCCCAGGGAAGAGACAGGGGAAGAAGTGAAAGGTGCTTTTTTTTCCCTTCCTGCTTGCCTTCTGGAGGACCTTTGTGACAGAGGGAAAATCAAGTTACCAGGGACTTGGAGGGGGACAGGGCTTGGACCACTGCCTTGTAGGCCACTCCTGAGCTTAGAAAAGGATGCTGCCCAAGTCTCCAGCCCCTGCCACTTCCCTCCCCCTCTTAGGTAGTAGGGAGAGGGTAAGTGGGGGGGTGTAGCCTAGGGGAGGACTATTTTGTTGTCTAATAGGCACTGTCCTTCCTACTCTTGGTACTTAATCCCTCCCTATGTAAACAGCTCTGGTTACCCCTGGTTACCTGTAAACACCCCACCCCCCTCCCAGCGCCCTGGTAAATTTAACTCTCCCAACTTGGCTATAGAGCAGGAAGGGCTGTGTGTGTGTGTGTGTGTGTGTGTGTGTGTGTGTGTGTGTGACAGAGACAGAGAGAAAGAGAGAAGTCCTAACCAGAGACATCAAAGACAGTGGGTTCCAGGACCACAATGAATTTGGGAAATCCATTCCCATCATATAACAAGACTGTTCTACCTGTGAATCATACTTGTACCCTCTTATACTTCCCCCAAACAGAGGCTCAACTCTTCACAAGGGGAAGGAAGGGAAAAGGACAATGCTATGTCTATTTTTAAGATGTGGAAACAGTCTCTGAAGGGGCTATGACTTGCTAAAGTTGCATATGCAGGCTAGATGAGGGGCAGCATTGATCCTGTCAAAAGGCATCACTGATGGCTAGGTGAGCAGGGTGACACCCAGGCAGGGGGACCCACTGGGATGCTGGGTCAGATATATCAAGTCTAGCTGAACCTGGGTCAGTTTGAGGGTGAGTGCATGGGAGAGGGGGAGGTGCTGGTGCTTTTGCTCAGAGGCCAGCTAGGGCCTGAATCATAGCACCACTGAAGCCAGAAGTTTCAAGGCAAATGGTTCCCATTGTCATTATCCCAGGACAGTGACAGGTGGTAGCTGCTTCCCTACCAGTTCCTGTCCCCAGGGTGGGTTCTTAGGTGGTGGGGGCTGGAGTGAGGGCCTCGCAAGTGCCTGGGGGACCATAGAGCTCTTTCTGCCTCAGAGGGGCTTTAGATAGGGGCCCACAGCTACCCCCAAAGATTCCTAAGAGACTCCACATCAGCATCTAGCCCTTGTTCTTGGTGCCAAGGCCATCTGTGAAAGCTAGAGCTATCCACTCCAGCCCCTTCAGTATGTTCCCACTAAAGGCAATGGGTCCAGTCAGGGACTGCACCTTCCAGAGGCAATAGCACAACTTTTGGATTTAGGGGAGCCCTCCAAGCATTGCTCCTCCATCAAAGATTGTGGGGTGATGGGTCAAGGAAAGTGGTGAGTGCACCCTTATGAACTCTAACTGGGACAACTGCTGAGAGGGCCAAGGAAAAGAGGAGCACTGGAGTGATAGGAAACCTGGGGCTAAGAGGAAGATGAAATTGCTCAGAAGACATGAGTCGCCTGACTCAAAAGTCTGGTCCCCGTCCCCTGGCTCACATTCTGTTCCACAGCCCTGGTGCACACGTTTGACCTCAGGCAGGTCCCTGCTCAGCCTCTCTCTGAGCCGGTGAGGAGCAGAGTCAGGCCTAGCTCCTGGCTTCCAACCGGGCACCCGCTGGTCTCTCACCTTCCTGTCAGCCCGAGGCTGGATAGGCATCGTAGGCCTCTGGCCCGCACCAGAAGAGAAGGTTAGAAAAGTGAAGCCCAGGGGCCAAGGCTGTCCCGTTGGCGACGCCACCAATTCGAGAGGGGACGCGGCCTCTTTAAGGCGCGGTGACCCCACGACATCTGCGGGCGGGGCGGGGACAGTGCGGGCGTCCACGGCACCAGCGGAGGAGAACGTGAGGGAGGTAGTGCGCGGCGTCCAGCCCCACCATGCTGACCGCGCTCGCCCGGCCAGCCCTGCCTGGGCTCCCAGGGCAGCTGCCCGTAGCCCCCGCGCGGCGTCAGGATTCCTCCGGCTCGTCAGGCTCCTACCACACGGCTCCGGGTTCTCCAGAGCCCCCGGACGCTGGGCCGGACGCAGGGTGCGGGGCGAACTGGCCCGGGGGGGGGCCCTGCGCTGGGGGCGGGCGCACAGCCTCGCCTGTCAGTCAGCGCCCAGAATAGCCGCCAGCAGCTCGGGCCCGGCTCGGGTTTCCCGCGAGGTCCGGGCTCCGGCCCGCCGCCACCCCAGCCCCAGCTGCGCATGTTGCCGTCGGGGGAGATGGAAGTCATCTTCGGCGCCGGGGCCTTGTTCGGCCGCTCCGACGCGGCGGATAGCGAGGTGCAACAACTCATCGCGCGGGCTTTCCGCAGCCTCTCTCCGCCCGGGCCTGCGACTCCTGCTCCCGCCGCTCCGACGCCTCAGGCCCCCGACGGCGGCTCCCGCTGGGCCACTTACCTGGAGCTGCGGCCCCGCGGGCCGAGTCCCGGGACCCCAGCGCAGTTCGAGTGTGTGGAGGTGGCGCTGGAGGAGCGCGACGCGCCCGCCAGGACCCGGACGGTGCCCAAGCGTCAGATCGAGCTGCGCCCCCGGCCCCGGAGTCCCCCGCGGGAGGCGGGAGCGCCGCGCCCCCGACTGCTTCTGCGCACTGGCTCGCTGGACGAGTCGCTGGGTCGCCTGCAGGCAGCCGCCGGCCTAGTGCAGACAGCACTGGCCAGAAAACTGAACCCTGCGGCCCCTGTCCCGAGCAGCGCCACCTTCGGGCCCACGGGGCGGCCAGAGTGTGCGACCCGGGAAACGGACCGCATTGCCCGAAGAGTTCCGGAGGAGGCCAGTTCTCGGCCACCCCGCGTGCACTATAGTTCAGCCCCCACCAGGGCACCACGGCCGTGGCCCAGCCTCCGAGAGCGCGCGATTCGGCGCGACAAACCCGCGCCAGGGACCGAGCCGCTGGGTCCGGTTAGTTCCAGCATCTTCCTGCAGTCAGGGGAGAAGACTCAAGAGGCGCACAGTCAGGAACTCAAGACTCGGTTCCCTCGAGAGACTCCGGATCGAACCGTCCTGAGAGCACAGAGTCCGCCTTTCAAGTCTTCGGCCCCCCAGGAAGTTCCGAGTAAGGCTGGCAGGCCAAGGAGCTCGTCCCCGCTGTGGCAGGCTCCAAATGGAACTTTACGGGGCCCACTCTGCCCATCTCCCCAGAATCTGCTCCCATGGAATCGGGCTCTTCGGAGGGTAAGTAGCCCGTCGTTCCCTGAGGCATCCTCTGCATGGGGAAATCAGGATCCCGCTGTCGAGGAAACGGTCAGCAGAAGCCCTTCCCCACCTACCCTTTCCCAGTGGAATCACGGTGTTGCCAGGACAAGAAGCCCATCTCCCGAAGCTTCCCTATCGGAGGTTCCGGAACCGACAGTTAGTTATACGGCAGAGAGCTGTAGAAACCCGTCCCCGCCGGCCCTGTCCTCATGGAAGGCTCCAAATCGTATTAATGGAACGTGGAACCCAGCTCCCCAAGAGACGTGGGATCGCACACTGCAGGGCTCATCGATGGTATCTACGTCGGAAGCTCTGAACGGGGTAGGACAGGAGGAGCTGGAGCTGCCTAGGCCGTCCGCACCCAGGACTCCCGAGCTCACAGAGGCGCTAAGTCCATCCACGCGGGAGATGCGGGATCTTGCCTTCCAAGGCAGTCAGCAGTCGCCAGAAGCGGCTGCACCTGAGCTGCCCCTCAGTCGCCCGGTGGGCACCCTGGAGGCCGATGTGCGCCAGGAAGCCTTGGGCCCTGGAGAAGCCGCCTCGGGTCGGCCGCGCGTGGCCATCCCACGGCCCCGAGACGTGCGCAAGATGGTGAAGACCACGTACGCGCCCAGCTTCCCCGCCGGAACCCCGGCTTTGGGGCTGCCTGCGCCTCCTACCGAACCCTGCGGGGAGGAGGGCGGCGCACCCAAGACACAGGAGTTCCAGGCGCTGGGGTCCCCAGGCCCAGCTCACTACACTTCTGTGTATCTCAAGGACTTTCTTCCGGTCGTGACGCACCCCTACGAGCCCCCAGAGCCGCCTACTGACACAGTGCCCCGGGACGCTTCGCAGCCCAACGGGGTCCTGAGGCGGAGAGCAGAGAACAGCACGGCAAAACCCTTCGCGCGTACTGAGATCCGCCTGCCTGGTGCACTGGTTTTGGGCCGCCGGCCCGAGGGAACCGGGGGAGTTCTGGTGCGTGGTGCTGGCAGAGAGAACCGCGATGCCGAAGCCCGGCGCCTGGTCCCGGACGGCGAGGGGCGGACCAGCCCTCTAGGCGGCGCTCGCGCTTCACCCCAGCAGTCGCCCTTAGGGCCAGCCGGGCCCCAACCACCCAGACCATCCTGCGCCGACTCCCCTCAGGCGCACCCTAGCTCTAGCCCTGGGATCTCACCCAAACTGGAGGCGCCCCCTGGAGCCCACGAGCCCGCGACTGCCGTCCAGTCGGCTCTCCCGCGGGAACCCCAGGTGTCGGCTGGCAGGACAGCCCCGCCCCAGCCCCGTGCTGCCTCGGCGCCTCCAATGGACCGGTCCCCGGAAGGCCCCTTCCAGGGGGCGCGCAGGCCACCGGGGACCGCGTACGCGGGGAAGGTCCTGGTGGACCCCGAGAGCGGCCGCTACTACTTTGTGGAGGCGCCGCGGCAGCCTCGGCTGCGGATGCTCTTCGACCCCGAAAGCGGGCAATACGTAGAGGTGCTGCTGCCGCCGTCGCCGCCGGGACCACCCCGCCGCGTCTACACCCCGCTGGCCCTGGGTTCTGGCCTCTACCCTCCAGCCTATGGGCCTCTCTCGGGACTCTCAGTCCCGCCTTCCCCTGGCCCACCGGCCTTCAGCGGCCCCCAAGTACCCTGGATTTCCGAGGCGGGGCCCCTGGACGGGCTGTACTACCTGCCCGTGAGTGGAACCCCCAGCCCTGCACCTCCTCTGCTCCTCTGTGCTCCGCCCAACAGTTCAGGTTCAGCCCAACCCGGCAAGGGGTCTTTGTTCCCCGCGTGAGGCCTCAGGGCCTGATCCCCATGGTGTTGGGGCCTGTTTGATGGCCTTGGAGGTTCCAGCATCCAGTCCCCTACCCACCGTTCCTTCTATCACCTCTCTCTCTTTTACCCTTCCCGGCCCGTCTTCACACTGGAAGTTACCTTCAGACAATGTATCAGACTTTGGGACTGATGGAGCTGGGACTTAGAAAGTGGTTGCCTACTTCCTCCTCCAACAAAATGGTATCCTCTTTTCCCAGGCATTCCCAGAGTGTGGTGTGTGTGTGTGTGTGTGTGTGTGTGTGTGTGTGTGTGTGTGTGTGTG